ATATATGTATTATATCATGAATGTATTGTTTGTTTGTTTACTTTATGTTATTATTTATATTTATATATTAATGTTACATTCTGTAATAAATTGTTTCTAATACATCCTGAGTAACTATATGATCTGTTACATTATTTCTTTAATAGCTAACATAATTATCTGTTGTAAATTGTTAGTAACATACATTTGTATTATTTGTTATTAACAGTGTTATTGTAAATTGTTGTGATTGTAATGTTATGAATATTTATTAGTATTATAGCTATTGTTCTTTACTTTTTCTTTTTGTAAAGAATAATGTATTATAACACAATCTGTATATAATTAATATATTAGATTATGTTTACTATAATCATCTCCTAGCATACTTTAGTTAATCTAGTAGTATACACAATTGTAGTATTTGTTCAATGTTTTATTTGTTAATTGATTAGCTAGGTAAAGTGTTTTATATATTAGTTTTATTTATTTTATTTGAATCATTGTATAGATATACTTATTAGTATTTATCTGATGTATTTTATAATGTTATAATACTGTTCATGCTTGTATTAATTGTACAGTAAGGGCAAATTAATTGTTTGTACAAGAATCAATTTAATAGTTTTATTTGATTATATGTATGTACTCTATACTTGTTTGTACAGTTATTATCTTTGTATTGTTCAATTGTAGTTGTGAATTATATTGCAATTATATTTGTATTATTGTATGGATATATTATTTATCATTTTATGTATGTTCCAAAGTATTATTTTCATTATTCATCACTTTTATCTATGAACTATAATCTGGATTAATGAATTATTTTGTTATATGATATGATAATTGTCTGTATTTTATTTATTTTCATATTAAATGTTGTTAAGTTAATCAGATTATTATATTAATATTATTTGCCAAGTATGAGCATTCGTTTTGTAGTAGAATTATTATTTATTTAATGTTGAAGTTCAATTGTATGTTGTGTTAACTTCTGTTATTTGTTCTGATCAATGTTATTTTGTATTGTGTTGAATGATTTACCTTTATGATCTGTTATATCTGTCTGTAACTTCTATTACTTATTGTTTTTTAGGATCAGTAATAAGATTGACATTTCTGCATTATGAATATTCATTTGTTTATTTGCAGTTTTGTGTTATGAATGTTTGTACATTTGCTGTAAAGAACACTTTAGGAATATGTACCATTTCTAGACTTTATTATTATTAATTTATTAATTATCTGTTTGAATAACTTTTATAAGTATTGAAAATGTTATGTAATGTATAACTTTTATATTCTTTAATAAAGTATTTCACATTCAATGGATTTGTCAGATTCATCACAGATTTCACTTAGTAACATAGTCAATATGTCTGTATTAAGAATTCAATGTTTATTATTAGTGTGTATATTATTCAATTACTCCCCTTCAATTTGAGAAGGTTATTCTTTGAGTAATTAACAAGTAGTGTAAGTACATAAGTACATTGTTGATTTCCTTTCATGTATTTGTAATCCAACAAGTAGTGTTAGTACTTTGTTATTTTACTTTTATACATTTGTCAGTATGTGTTATAATATAACAGTATGTTTTAAGTTAACTCATAATGTTTAACATACATCATTTTGTTTAAACATTATACTGTAACATTGTACTGTTTGTTTTATAAATTTTAATGTAATGTTTGTAATATGTCTGTAATATTTCAGATGTGCTAAGAAATCTCTCTGTGTGTTTACAGTTACAACATCAGTTGTACATCTATTCATATCTCTAATAAGATGTAATAGATATACTTACATCTGCTTTTCTTTATATATTATACTGTCTAAGATAATGTGTTAAACATTTTATTAATTAATTTAATCTTATTATATTATAATTGTTTTTGTTTGTAATCATTATAATAAGTGTGTCTGTTGTAGTTTTTCTGTTGTTTGTTGTACTAGCTATATTAGCATAGTACTTCACTTGTATATAAGCTTTGTAACTTTAATATAAGTTTATTTATACTTTGTTAAAGTATATCTACATTCTATACAATTAAATATGTTCTGTTACATTGTTGTAGTAATGGTAGAGGTATTATTCTACTGTTCACTATTATTATACATCATTATTATATGTTTACACTATTATAGGTGTAAAGTATTGTTATTTGTTTAAAGACTATAATTGTGTACTTGTTCCTGTACTATAGTTACTGTAATGTACTTTGTAACTTTATTATTATTATTATTATTATTATTATTAATTTGTCTGTAGATAGTTGTATGCTTTCATAAGCTGTATTAGTGTATAGATATTAGATGTCTTAGATATTAGATGGATATCTGCTAACTTGTTTTATCTCATATCTGACATGTCTAACATATCTGAAACATGTCTTACATTAATTGTTTGGCTGTAATATTACTATATGTGTTATTATTTTATTTATACTATAATATATACATGTTTATTGACAGTGTCAATCATTTGTACTATTATAATATTAATAGTGGATGAGTAGTGTTTGCTTTCTCAATCCTTCTAACATTTGTCTGTAGTATGATCAGTTATTTATAATAACATGATCTCTATAATATTATAGAATATTTTAGTGATTAAATGTTGCAGTAAGTGATACTCATTATAGTTTCAGTGTTGCCTGCATAGATTATGTTATTACTGGGCCAATAATCATAATCACTAAGATGATAATCATATAATGTCTGGGTCATATGTAGTACAAAAGATTGTGTGTTTGCAGTGTATCAATTCATGTTTGGGATACTCAGACAGGTGAGTCAAGTTCTGTGTTGTAGTATGCTGTATGCATGCATGTGATGTGTAGAACTGTATGGAGCATAGACATAGTAGAGTGTAGATAAAGTGTAGGCAGGGAGTACAAGGCTCATAACCTGTTGAGAGGAGTTATGTGAGAGGCTTAGAGGGATCACACAAAGAGGGGGGATAGTGGACTTGGCTTGCTCTCCTTAGCATCATTGTCTGTTGATTCAGTAGGTATATATAATATGTAGCTATGTCTCGGGTACATCCGTTGCTTATATGCGTCATTCCATATATGTTAACAGGTAGTCGATTCGTTGACAAGTGCTAGCCTTAACATCGACGCTGCCAAACATACAATCCAACAGAGTGGAATTTCGACCTCGGCTGCTGCTTCCAAGTCTGGCCCTGTTACGCTGCCAGGCAAAGTTGGCATACGGGTGAATCTAGCTCTTCTCAGCAGCTATCAAGATAATGCAAGAAACGAATGTTGGCTAACCTGCGATAATGTGTCCATGGTATAGTTGCTGATGTCCGGTCCCGGACCGCTCGGACTCGGTCCGGACGCAGGACTGGACTGATGGACCGGTCCTCTACAGTCCGGTCCTCATGGGTCCAGGAGAGGTCCGGTCCTGGGTCCATCATTTTGAGAAATTTCCCGGACCGATGGACTCGTCCGGACCCGGACTGGACTCTGGACCTGAATAACCTGAACTAATGTCTCAAATCTCGTTTCCCATATCTCTAGCTCACTATACTAAAACAGATCATACTCCTTTAAGGATCTTTGAATATTAGCTAGCACTTGCATAGTACATTTTACAAGTTTCTGGCAGTCCAAGCAAAGCAAAACTTTATTCCTGTTCTTTACTGTTCAATGTATGGCTTACTAAACTTGACTCTTCCTATCTGGTTATTGTCTCCCGAAATATTTATTCCCTTTATGTATATTCACTCCTCTCCCGTCCTATGCCAAAGACGCCGCAGTCCCAGCCGCCCTCCCCAGTCAAGCAGCCAGCCAATGCCCCTGCCCCTGACAAATTAGACAAGATGTCTGAAATCACTCTCAGAAAGAAGAACGCTGACGCTCAGGCTGCTTTCCGTGCACGCCGTGCCAACTATATTGCCACCCTCGAAGAGACAGGTCCGTCTGCTGCTAAGTACCTAAATATTCATGTTCCGACAACTAAGTGTCCGTAAATCGCAGTAACCAGCTTAGAGGCAGTTGTAGTCCAGCTTCAGGACTCGTGTCGCGAGGCTCGCGCCGAAGCCTCAGAATTGCGTCAGGAAAACCACTACAGTGTCTAGTCTGTAGATTATGTAGTATATACAAAAATATATTACTTTTGTACTTAGATACAAAGAATAATACTCTAACTCATCTCTTAAATTTTTTTTCTCTCAGGTCCGGTTATGGACCGGTCCAGAACCAGACTGGAACTTGGGTCCGGTCCACTACCCGTCCACATAGGTCCAGTCCCCAGTCCGGGACACTCCCAGACTGCAGATTTGGTCTGGTCCTGAGTCCAGGTGAAGTATGCCCGGACCAGACCAGGACCAGACTTCAGCAACTATAGTCCATGGTGCGAACGAAGATATCCAGTTTCGAGACAAGAGTTCCCACAGAATTGTACAGGTCGGAATACTGTGCAAAGTAATTGATGTTGGCATTAACAGTTTGGTCTCAGCACTGTACAAGGTACTTCAAAGAATGTAGTGTCCAACTTGCTCTGACATTATCTACAGGCGGTTGAGCACCAGTTCAAAGTGGACGAGAAAGTGGTCGACCTTGTGCACGCTATGAGAGATGCGTTCGATTTCGTAGAACAAGCCAGTACACTTCGAGAAAAGACAAAAAGACTCAAGACCACTATCCTTCAACTCCTAAAGCAAACCAACGAGTGCTCTCTCTTTATTCAAGAATACGCACGTCACAAGTTTGCAAGTAAGTCCAATCTTCAACTGACACGTACACTCGCCTTATTGCGTGTCAGGGCGAATGGCCATGCTAAACGTAGATACAACCGTCGATGGATACATAAAGGCCCTCGAGGCACTCAGGACTTCAATTAATTCGGAAACAACCCTGTATATTGCCTTTGTCTCGTCGCGGATCTCTTCCAAGGTTGATGCACTGCGTTTGTATTTTCATTTCTCATTTCAGTTTCTGAATTCGGCTGAGTGTAGAACACTAGTTCTGAAAAGCCGACTCAATCCGGACGAAGTGAGCGCATTTGACCGGCCACAATGCCTTCCCGGAACGCGCGGAACTATTCTTGACGAGATTGTGGAGTGGGTATCATCGTGTTCAGAACAGAATGTGTTCTGGTTATATGGTGTTGCAGGATCTGGCAAGAGCACAGTTAGCACGACGATTGCAGAACACTTCCGCGCAATATCTCGTCTTGGTGCCCATATTTTCTTTCAACGAGGGAAGAGTGAGCCCAGCTCTGTCATTCGCACACTTGCTTACAAGCTCGCCTCATTTGACTCTATGATTGCCAACCACGTCATGGAGGCGATTCAGCAGGATAACGATATCGCTCAGGCTTCAGGGACTGTCCAATTTGAGAGACTTATCAACGACCCCCTCGTTCATTCCGGAGAAGCCATGCAGGGACCAGTCATCATTGTCCTCGATGCTCTCGATGAATGTGGGACAGAGAAGAATCGACGAGGCTTGCTGGAACTTTTGCGAGAAGGACTTCCGGGTCTTCCCAAGAACTTCCGATTTCTCATTACAAGTAGAAAGGAGCTGGATATTGAACGAGCGCTCAAATCCGTGTCCGAATGCATCCGCGCCGTTGAGTTGGAGCACAACTCGACAGCCTGCAAAGACGAAGTGCTTCGTTATATTGATCACGAGATGCGCATCGTGTTCGCTAAAAATGAGCTACGTCCATCGGCGGATTGGCAGTCGAAGATGGATCGACTCGGAGATGCAGCAGGTGGTCTTTTCATCTGGGCATCAACAGCAGTCAAGTTGGTGGATCGCGACTATCCTGCTCGGAGACTAAATGACCTTGTTTCCAAATTTCAATCCGTCTCTGCACTCGATAATTTGTACTGCACCGTCCTTGAAACCTCGGGTATTTCGTTCGATGATGAGGAATCCAGGTTTCACTTTTCCCAAGTCCTCGGCCTCGTCCTGCTTTGTAAAGTCCCACTATCTGACGATGCAATTGATGGGATACTTGGATATTCGGACGAAGACTCTTCACGTCTTGTGCTTTCGCGCTTGCAATCTGTGATTGTGTATACCCCAGGAGCACCAATCCGATTTTGCCATACTTCCTTCCGCGACTACTTATCAGCTCCTGAGCGCGAAAAAGACCCTTGGTTCATCAACCTCAAGACTCAAAGGGAGTTCATTGCCTCGCGATGCTTCACTGTCATGAGGGACATGCTCCGGTTCAACATCTGCGACATAGCATCATTGTATATCCCTAACGATAAGATCCCTGACCTCCCGAATCGTATCAAGGCGAACATTCCTCCTCAGTTGGAATACGCGTGTCTCTTCTGGAGCCAGCACTTACTCGAGGCTCCGTTTTTGCACGAGTTGTTAAACGAGCTGCCGGAGTTCCTTAACAAACATTTGCTCTACTGGCTCGAGGTGATGAGCGTCCTCGGAAAGGTCAATGTTGCTAGCCCAGCACTTCTTCATGCCATGAATTGGGTCTCAGTGAGTGGGCGGGTGTATTATAGGAGCTGAAGCTTATGCTATCTTTCGGCTAGTCACACAATGCCGACGTTTTGGCATTCCTGAGGGATGCACGTAGAACGATTACTATATATTTACCTGCCATATCGCGATCGACACCTCATATATATATCTCTTTCCTTCTGTTTGCATCAAGAGAGTCGAAGTTTCTGACGAATTACTTGAAGCCTGATCTACGAATTGTGCGAGTAGAGCAGATGGGTGTGAAGCAGTGGTCACCGCTCTTGAAGGAGCTCACAGGACATAAGGACCGGGTCACGTCTGTTGCGTTCTCACCCGACGGCACTCGTGTTACCTCCGGTTCCTACAATAAAACAATTCGAATTTGGGACGCTGAGAGTGGGCGAGTCATCTTCGGACCATTTGAAGGGCATACTGGCTGGGTACAGTCTGTTGCTTTCTCGCCTGACGGTGCGCGCGTCGTTTCCGGATCCAACGATAAGACAATTCGAATTTGGGACGTTGAGAGCGGGCAGATGGTTTCTGAGCCTATGGAAGGACATACCGACACTGTCTATTCTGTTGCTTTCTCGCCGGATGGTATGCATGTTGCCTCTGGATCGGCTGACAACACTGTCATGGTCTGGGACGTTAAGAGTGGGCAGGCTGCCAAGCGGTTCGAGGGCCATGACGATGGTGTGAGTTCTGTTGCGTACTCTTCCGACGGGAAGCGCATTGTCTCAGGTTCTTATGACACGACAATTCGAATCTGGGACGTCGAGAGTGGACAGACTGTTCATGGCCCTCTCATAGGTCACTCAAGCAGTGTCGAGTCAGTCGCCTTCTCTCGTGATGGCACACGCATCGCCTCAGGCTCCTTCGACAATACGATTCGAATCTGGGACGCTCAGAGCGGGGAATGTATTTCCAAGCCTTTTGAAGGACATACCAGGGCAGTCACTTCCATTGCTTTCTCATCCAACAGCAGACACATCGCCTCTGGTTCTGATGATATGACAGTTCGAATCTGGGATGTTGAAGGCAGGCAGGTTGTTTCCGGTCCTTTTGAAGGGCACTCTGGAGAGGTATTGTCTGTTGCATTTTCTCCAGATGGAACCCGTGTCGCCTCAGGCTCATGGGACGACACGATCCGAATCTGGGACGCCGAAAGTGAACAGACCGTTTCTGGGGATTTCGAAGGGCATACATATTAAGTAAGATGCATTGCTTTGTCGCCCAATTGCAAACGCGTTGTGTCTGGGTCGGATGATGGTACGATTCGAGTATGCGATGCTGAAAGTGGACGCATGGTCTCAGGACCTTTCAAAGGACACTCAGACATAGTCTGGTCAGTTGTGTTCTCGCCGGATGGAAGGCGTGTTGCTTCTTGCTCCTGGGATCCGGCGATCCGCGTGTGGGACGCCGAAAGCGGAAATGCCGTTTCCGGTCCTTTCGAAGGACATACGTCACTTGTCTTCTCTGTCTGCTTCTCGCCAGACGGGTCACATGTTGCGTCTGGCTCTGATGACGAAACAGTTCGAATCTGGGATGTCGAGAGCGGAAAGACGACTTCTGGTCCTTTCAAAGGGCATAAGGATGCTGTTTTATCTGCTGCTTTCTTGCCTGATGGCAGATACGTCGTCTCTGGCTCCAGGGACACAACAACTATAGCTTGGGACGTCGAAAGTGGTGAAATCATTTCTGGGCCTTTGGAAGGGCACACAGACGGGGTTTTGTCAGTGGCTTTCTCACCCGACGGCACACGTGTCGTCTCCGGTTCTTGGCAAATCATTTTGGTTTGGAGCGTCGAGAACGGTCAGGTCGTAGCTGGGCCTTTCGAAGGACATACAGACTGGGTTCAGTCAGTTGCCTTTTCTCCTGACGGAGCACGCATCGTCTCGGGCTCTGCGGACGGGACAGTCCGTGTCTGGGATGCTTGCAGTGGACAGGCCATCTTTGCGCCCTTCGAAGGCCATACAAACCAGGTGTGGTCTGTCGCATTCTCGTCGGATGGAAGACGCGTCGTCTCTGGCTCCTTAGATTGTATGGTCAGAATGTGGAATGTACAAGGTATGTCAACAACTTCCTTGCTCAGTGGTCAATGCCTGACGCTGTGTCTTTGAAATTTCTCTCGACATAGATCCCGTCTTTGACTGGACAATGGATGGAGATGGATGGATACGCAGAGGCGACTCAGGCGAGGAAGAACTACTCTTGTGGATTCTGCCTGATCTTCGGCCTATGCTTTGGCGATCTAGAAATACTGGAGTCTCTGGTTGCTCGTTTTCAACTAGGTTGGACTTTATGAATGCTGCTCTTGGTGAGCGGTGGCAGGAATGTTTTGAACCACCTCATCCCTCCGTCAAAGTGACTTGTCATCAATAGTCCCGCTCACAAGAACCCTGCTTGCTGTTTCTTATAGAATACGACGAGTGTTGTATAATACATTCTAATTATCAACGTCAATCTAGTTTTGTACCTTCTATTCATTCAAGTGCAAAGCATGGTCTGTATATGCAATAGGCAACATTCTTAGGCTCTGTGACACACACCTGTAGAAACATTGTGCACAGATACTCGATTATGCAGTGCGTGATCTCAAGGCTTCCGAGGTTGTTCTCGGGACGTGTGTTCACCCATTTCACTTACTGTTCCTTTCACTTTTACACTTTTGCACTTTTCTCTCTCTTTTAAATCCTTTCAAACTATTGCATCTGAAGACTTTTTCTTATTCTATTTCGGATCACCTTTACCTGATATTCTTAAACCTCTAGACCTCACCACATTGAACGACTACACTTACAAATGCAGAGTATAGTCGAGTCTCACAAGTCTAGCTTTGTAACTTGTGCTTGTGAGTGTAGCAAGCGACTGTGTGGTGAAATTGATGGAGGTGTTTGCTGAGAGAGAGTTTCCTTGGAGGAATGGATTTCGTGGGTTTTGGCCTTTGACACGGGAGAAGTCTAAGTCGCCAAGTCAATCGACAATGGCTAACTCTAGTCAGATGTAAATACTGGTGGTGGTGGTGGACCTGGTGGTGGTGGTGTTGAAGAGGCGAATGTGAATCTTGGGTTAGGCCTTACAGATACTTTATAAGTTATGACCCTCACTCTGTGATATACAACATTTCGACTGTGGGCTATACACGATTGCATTCTACTACTTGATCTCAGTCGAGTCCATATGCAAGGTTGTGAATAAACAGCTGGCTGGTAGATATGCCTCATGGAGTGACAGTGGCGTGGATCCCGTGATACCTACCTCACTCAATGACATCACGCCCAGTCTCCCTCATGCATATAATACCTCGCCCATCACCAACACAATGTCTCCCAGTTGTCTCCTCCCTAATCCCTTCGCTTTCCTTTGATTGAACACGAACCTCACAGTTTCTGCAACAACTTATTATCATGGCCGACAGCTCTTGGAGGGATGGCATTCTGCTCAAGGTATTCTCCTCTCCATCTTCCTGGCCTGGCCTTGAAACATGTCTGATGATGATCCGTAGATTGTCAATGTCATCGTATACTTCCTATTCTTAGGCTCAAACATTTACTCTGTCGCAGGTCCTGAGGGCGCATACCGCTCAGGCAAGGAGACGTACTTCACACCCGCATCTTACGCGTTCGCAATTTGGTGAGGCATCTACAAACGTCATTTCACTTTCTTCACATTACTCACACACGCGTTGATGCATGCAGGTCACTTATTCATCTCCTACTGCTCGGTGCTATAATCTACCAGTTCTTCCCGGGCGGAAAGCGTGTGATCATTGATGGCATTTCGTGGCGCTTCCCACTGCTTGCCGTACTCAACGCAATCTACGTGAATGTGTGGATTAAGCAATATTATGTTGTTGGTGGGTTGCGAGCTCGTTTTTTAATCTTGTTTCTTTATCTAACGACCATCTCTAGCTTTCATTTTTGCCTTGTTGGTCAGCTCTACTGTACGTGTCCTCATTTTCGCTTGCCACAGCGCAGCACTTCATAGACAGAATGTCTTACCTATTCCCCTTCTCCTCGGCATTACAGGTGACGCACATCTATTACATTGTCCGTCGGTACCACAAATCCGAATCATGGGCTGACGAACTATTCGTGCATCTCCCCTTCTCACTGTACCACGGCTGGACAACCGTCCTCGTCATTCTCTCTCTCTTCGAAGCCTTCGGTGTGAATGCACTCACTCATAGCCCGGGAGTCTGGACAAAGATTTTCGTCTTCCTCGGCCTCTTCTTCCTTGAAGCAACAGCAGCCACCTATGCTTTCTCCGCTCCCGAAGGTGATTTGGGCGGCTCAATCGCAATTGCGTGGGCCCTTTTCGCAGTGTTCGAGCACCAACGATCGAGCGCGTTTATCCATTGGAGTGCGCTCGCGTTTGCGTTGTTGAGCTTATTCTGGATTGCGAAGAGCTTGTACGGACACCTCGTTGCACATAGACATGCAGGCGGCATTTTGCATGACGAGGAACGCGCGCCGCTCGTTGGGTCTTGAGCACGTGTTACAACAGAGGGCTCATAAGTCTAAATCAAGTTTTTCCAACAGACGAGATGCTCCTACACTCTATCCATTTACTTCTTCTCCCAGTTATGGGCGTTCACTTGTTCCCTCCAATTCTGAGATTGCATTCTGTTCATTTTTTCTCCTACTGTAACATTTTGTGCATTGCCCAGCATCTTACCATGTGACCTACCGCCTTCGGGCCTTTTATAAGAACAGATTTGACTCACATCCGATTATGCGCTATCTGCCACGCTTTAATCATGTATGTCTGATACACGTTCCAAATAGTGTATAACAAATGTCGCCGAACATATGCATTTATTTTCCGCGACTGCCAGAGACCAAGAGAAAGCCTAATTTCTACGCTAATTACAAAAGCAATTTCTAGCTAGTCCTCAAGTCAACTCGTCATATACACCTTCTTCATACCTTGACCTCAGAAAATGCCGAGTCTCGGAGACGCCATCATGCACGTTGCAGTCAGACAAATACAGCCCATTCAGTGCTGTAACTCTCCAGACCAACCCAGACAGGACTAGTGTCTCGTAGAAATGTTGTACATTGTAAATTTTGCAGCGTACAAGCCCCAAACTCTTGAGGTTCTCCAAAGTACGTCGTGCGGGTTCAATGAGTGGATGTGGACGCGTCATATCGACGAAATGGGACACGAGCCGTTCACCGATGGAGCAGTCCTCGAGCCAAAGACGTTCAAGTATTGTGCAGTGACCGAGACAGCTTAAGAGATCAATGTCATCACATCGGATTTTGTACAAGTCTAGAACGCGCAGAGGTGGAGTTGACCTGACGATGAACTGACGTAAAGGATCCCAGATGAATCCTGCTTCTATATCAACGTCAGGTATCTGCCCGTCCAACTCCAAGTTTTGCAACTGCGGTGCCGACAAGGAGTTCAAGACTGGCGTGGGGTCTGCTTCGTCCACCCAGGTAATTCCCAGCGTCTTCAAGTGTGGCAAAGTATAGTCCTCAGTGACAACTCCCGCATAACCAAGTCTGAATGTGAGATGACGCAGATTCTGGAATACCTTTAGAATGTCCATTGCTTCCTCGGTAGTCAAGCAGATCACGCCTTCTTCATCACAAAGGTCCAGATGAACAAGATATGGACCAAATTCTTTATGTCCGTCCATACCTAGCAAGATACACGGTTTCGTTGCTACACGCAGTCGCATCGATCCCCGTGCATAGTTCCTCGGAAGGTCCATTTCGTTCGACCAAAGATACTCTTCCGCAAGGTACGGAAACGGTATAGAGACGGACGGCTGAGCGATGACCGTAAGCGGCTTGTCAGCAGGTTTATCAGAATCAGAAGGCGCCGGCTTCAGCTCAGCAGCAAGCTCCGTCAACTCCATCACCGTCGGCAAAATCGCATCGGGAGCCTTGTACGCCGCAAACTTGCAGAAATCAATGTCGATGACCAGCGGGCACATCTTCGAGTTGTTGACCCAGAGCAGCATCAACTCTGTCGTAGACTCGCAATGATGACGAGGTGCACCGAGGCTGGTGTATGTCCAGAGCTTTGGGGTGGAGAACGCAATTTTGCGCCAGCGCTTGCAGACGTGGCTTAGGACAAGAGCAGACATTGGCGGTGCAGAGAAGCGATCGCTGAACGTCGGACAGCACCAGTACAAGATCTCACCTAAAACTTCATCTGGAAGCTTTGACAGCAGCTCTCCGATCCTCTGACTTGAGGCCTCCAACGTCGACTGTGTATCATTCACTGGTTGAATGGTATTTTCATCAGTGCGTACTTTCTTGCTGTCCGGCTCTTCATTAAGGCCAGGGCTCATGCACTGGGAAAGAGAAGGAGAAGAGGAAGTACTAGAGAAAGTGCAGACTTGGCTGTCAGCATTTCCTCATTCAAGACGATGAGAAAGAGACTTACTCTGTAGGACTAATAGCCCAGGACTGGTAAACGAGTGTGCGTGAGTAAAGAACGTGGGATGCTCGACAGAAAAATGTGAGCGGGAACGGCAAGGAAATTGCTGACACGCGAAGGAGCGATGTCGTGTAATGCATTGCGGAGACACACCCCGATTGACTTAAAGCAGTAGACGCATATCAGAATTGCAGCGTACAGGGCATTGGTACTGGCACTACTGTGACCAGGCAGCTATGGCCCATGACAGTCAAGAGCAAAGTGAACACATCCAGGATGCAAATCAGTCGCTGATTAGTAATCACTTGTAGACTTGACGACTTCTGTGAACAATCGTTTCTGTACTCTCAAAATGGACATCTATCTAATGGGCAACCCTTATCTCCCTCGCAAGCACTCGTCTGTGTGCCTCTGTGCAACGGTTTGAGTAACGATGCTCCGACGTCTCCGTCCTTGACCCTCAATTCGTCCAACTTTGCTTAACCACTCCACTCACAAGGCAATGTTGGTAAACGCATGTAATCACGTTCAGTTTCAACACTAGTACTCTCCGACCTTCTCAACCCTCCTTCACGCTCTTTGAGCGCGTCACCACACTCGTTTGATTGATCTTGTCACTCTTTTTCGGTAAGTAAAGCAGTCAAGGTCGACAACATCGTGATGACTGAACGGACGTAGCACAGAAACACTCGTTTTTCTATCTCGGTCTGCATGAGCCACGATGGACATGACATCAACCTGAAAGCACAAAATACACTAAACTTGCCCGACAAAATACAAGATGTATTGCACTACCAGCAACCTCGAGACGCTTCCGGGTGTTGTGAGACAACGTCTTGTCAAGAGGCTGATCAGAAAGCAGTTGTAAATCTACCTCCGGAAATCCTATCAGAAATCTTCAAACGGTGCTGCCCTACGTACAATGACCGGTATCGCGGTCCACCATTCACTGCATTGACGCTGAGCCATGTCTGTCGACTGTGGCAACGTGTTGCTTTAGACACGCCAGCAATCTGGACGTATATGAATATGACGGTTGACTATTCTACAGAAACTTCTTTGAATACAGCTGAAGATCAACTAATGCTTTGGCTTGGTTGCGTGCAGAATTGTCCGATCGTCATTGACGCAGAGTACGTCGAGAATCCAGAAAGAGTGGCAGCGTGTAATGTCTTCGACCACGTAAAGAGTATTATTGACTTGATACTCGCACTAAAGCCGTCCCTTGATCCGAACGAAATGGACCTCAGAGCTGCACTTGACGCCAGCGCTGGTGTCTCGTCTCCAGGCGATGATAGCCACCCACTCGTCGCAGAGCAGTATTCGTGGGCAAAGTCGGGCATGCGTCCCGATCGTCCCGATCCAGGAACAGTACAGCTCCATGTCAACAGATATGCAGAGCTGATCTACGGGATTGAAGGTCACTCTACCCTTGGACCATACCTCAAGCACCTCAACCTCCGCGATCCGCAAAGGCAAATCCGACTTTCCGTGGAAGAATGTCAGATTGCACTCGCGAACTTCCAGCAGCTTGAGTTCTGTGCAATGCACATCGGAGAGTCGGAGGATGAAGAGGTGGAAGCGATACAGCTCACACATCTCAGAACACTCTCTTTATCTTGGACGGATGGTGTCGAGGTCGCGCCACTCATTGACTCAATCACCACTCCGGCTCTCGAACAACTAGAATTAAAAGGGCCATTAGATGTCATGAGCTCTTCGTCAAGCCGGCAGTCTTCGAGACATAAGTACTGGAGTCCGTCGAGTTGGGAGAGACAGTTGAGCAAGTCGAGCGTTGTGCAGTCCATTTTGCCGAGACTGAGTGCCCAGAGACGTGGTCTTGACCGACGTAGGAACCGCCTGAGATGATTCCACCGATTCCCAGGAAAGTATTCTCTAGGTAGCCTAGAAAATGGTGAAGGTCCTGCTCGCGAGCAAGACAGACGTGTAATTCGTGATCTCAACTTCCTCGCTCTTGTTTCCTGCGATATCTTTGCGTTAGATGACTTCCTGCGGGATGCCAGTGCGGATCCACTAGCTTGGGAGGGAGCGAATTTGAAGAAGCTGTACATCATTGATTGCGGATACATCTCTGAGGAGGTGCTCGATGCGATGAGGCGGCTACCTTTTGAACAGTTTGAGACAGACCCAGAGGTACTGGAGGATGAGTCACTAGATCTGGTGTAGTCGTATGCTGGGAGTTTGGGGCATATTACTAGCGAAATAATACATGAGATGTTTACTCGTCCTACAAAGTGTCTTGATTGTTGTTAGGTCATGTTCGAACAAACACTTTTGTCGAATACATAGTTCAATAGATCTACAAGGGAGGTTTGATAGACTCTCTACATGCGCCTTATACTGCAAAAATACCACAGGATGTATACACTCTCCTAGACAACACAATTTGTCCCACTATGTCATTTTGCGCTTCTTCCTCGGAGCATGTTCACACACTTTACAAAGGTCCAGTAACCATTAATATGATCTCTGATTCATTTCCTCCGACAGATATTCACTTTCCGACATTTATGAGTATAGTTTTGTGTAGAAGTATATGCAGGTGTGATATCTCTGTTTCGTAAGCGCTCATATTAAAAGTACTACTTGGTCAAAGATGAGTATACCTGAAACTCCACGAATGGGTAGAAAAGAAATATTGACTGGTGGAATATTGCACATCGGATACAATGATGTAGCACTTTGCGGATTACATCATACTTACGCTCAGGAACAAGCTTTGCTGGAACAGGAGTGCAGCACATATTAACATGGTATTTATGTTTGCACACCTGAGCATCTTATGCTTGTACCGTGACCAATAACTGTAACCTCTAGAGCTGGAAACTCGGGGGTCTGCACAGTTCATCATAACCTATTATAATGTCTGAAGATAGAAGCAGGCGTGAAGAAGGGGACAAGGACCGTGATGGAGGGGAGAAGAAGAGGAGAAAGGACCCTACAACAGAAAGACTACGAAGGGACTCACAGCCTATCACACCAGATCAGGCAGCTGCAAAAAGCCCAAGGAATACACGCAGTCACTCTTCACTAAGAGGAAATGCAAGAAAAGATAGCAAGGTATGTCTATACCATTACTCAATACACAGGAATATGACCTAACGTAAAACGTCAATACTCTTTAGCATGATTCTAGAAGCTCTCTCAGACGTGATTCGATTGACCCTTCTTCTGTTGACGCGGCCCACTCGAGAGATGGTCCTACTAACACACCGAGATCTTCGTCTCACGCAAGTATAAAGCCAACTCCAAAAGAAAGAGATAGATGACCAAATGAGCCGGCTCTAGTATTGGAGACCAGGAGAGGAAACTTTATGTGGATCGTATCACCAAACTTCATTAACCTTTTTTACTCATTCATGTGATTTAATCAGTGTAATTCGATTTCTTTATTACATGCCAGAGACATCACGAAGAGATGAACGAAGCGAGTGGACAGATCGAGGCTGAAGTTACAGAGGCTCACATCAGACTAATACATAGTTGTAGACATTGAGCACTTAGCACTTGTTGTTAGACCCTATGTCTCATTAAGTCCAGCGAATGGAGTACTCAGACACTATCGATTACAAGGTTTACCATGATTGATTCATGTCTGCTTGACGTACAAAAGGTACACATACACACTGGATACGAATGAGGAAGAAGCTTTGCGAATTGCTTTGTGCATAGTATGAGCAGGTCACGGGTCAACAACTTTGCTAGAGCTGATACAGCTACAGCTATATTAACTCGGACCACAAATAACTGCTTTGCTTCGCCGTCACATGCCTGTGTGCAAGGCCCCATAACCCCATAGAGAGTCCAGTACTCATCTACAATCGACTGTGTACTATGGAAAACGCAGGAGACAAACAGGATTCCGAAGTTTCAGGTTCAGGTTCAGGTTCAAGTCCGGAAAATGGAAAGGGTAAGAGAAAAAGCAGCAGGAATAATGTTATTGAAACTTTGGCAAATGCACCAAACCCTGCAAATGAACTTGAAAAGTTTCCTACAGATGTCCCACCTCCAAGGCCTAAACAACCACGGAAACCGTCGGGACTCAGTAAGGAACATACAGAGGAAGGCGCTAACAGCCAGGAAGAGAATAATGAGACGCTGAAGGTGTGCATGACTTTAGACCTCATAAGCCACACAGTAGAGCAACGAGCTAATATATCGATCTTTTCAGCATCCTGATTCTTTGGTAGGCGAGAGTGGTGCAGAGGGATAGCGAGACTGAGAGACCAGTAGAAATCATGGAAGCGCAATGCGGAGGAGCAGTTTTTTACTGTAGTTTTTCTAATTTATTCAAATTTAATTCTTCTTGTCTGCTCTTGTCACTGGGATTGCGTTTAATGTTTTTACTTCGAACATCCTGAGAGTGTGTAATTACCATAGTCAGTCTCTTCTAATTTGCTCTTAAACGACCCTGTGATTGCGGATATGTGCTTCAGTGCTGTAGACAGTACGTTGCAAGAATCTGGAGCAGTCGTTGTAAGATGCAAAGCGGATTCCAGTTCGTCTCTAAGCATCAGCAGCAAACCAAAGGTGTACCTGAGTCACGTGTGATGAATGCTAGGCAATTAGCTCCGTTTCATCTGAGCGCGTCAGGACTTTGCTGAATAACGTGCACCTATTAAAGTGGAGCGTTTGTGAGCAATGTTCCGGATGCTCTCAGTATTGTAGCTGCAGCCATTTAGTACTCACTTAGTTTCACTGAGTTCCAGAGGCTCGTCATGGACGACACCAGCGATAGAAGAGCATCTGGGGTTGCTGAAAACAGGGGGGAACATAAGAATGCAAGGAGGAGAAGTGGAAACAAGCCAATCGACAATTTGTGTGAAGAAGAAGACCTTGAAGCCAACAGCGATGAGCCCTTCCCAGATGGCACAGCAAGGAAGAAGCCAGAACACAGGCGATCCAGCCTTAGTATGAGTAACAATGGCGTGCCTGGGGAAGAAGAAGAAAAACTGGCGAAGGTATGTAGAGTATAGCCTATGTATAATCTAGGAAGCTGAGCAAGCTTACACAAATGTACACTTAAGCACCGGGATTCCTCAATAGGCAGAAACTCAAAGCTATGAAAATTTATTTGCAAGACTACGGGAACCTGAGTTGCTTTTGCTTTCGCTTTCGTCGGTGGAGGGACTGGCGTGTATCATAGAAGCAAGTATAGAGTCATGCATGGTATAGTCGTGGTGGCGAGTCTTGTTGACCAGGGAAACATGCAGCGTCGTGGATGGTCCCGTGTCGAAAGTGGGCGGTAGGATAGGAAACTGGTGAGGGTGCAAAGTACAGTAGTTTCAGTTCTGTCACAGTAACGTTATTACACAATATCTTATTACATAATGCGAGACTGTCACCATACAACAAGGGCGACGACACAACGACGACTACGGTGAGTACTATAGCTCCATTTCACTGCACAAGGCATATATATGTCTTCAATGCATGGTGAGCACAAAGGATAATCATGCGAAGAACTTTGTGCTCATGCATCAACAAAGGTCTAGCAGCATACAACGACGACGACTCAACGAGTGAAGCAGAGGCAAGTCAGCAGCAACAAAATGTGAGAATGTCCATCGCCAGTTCTGTTGCCGCTTGTTTCCCTCGTCCTCGTCCTTTTCTTTGTTCTTTGCGCTAGGACCGTAAGCTGAAGCAGCGATTAGATGTTCCTCCAGAGCGTGCGTCTAAACTCTTTTTTCTTTCCTCAGCGGGTTTTGCTGATGGGCAATGAAAGACAGGTACATTACAACAGCAAGAAACAGCCGCAGACTCAATGCGCAGAAGCATGAACTCACCCACTATCAAGCGAACGTCAACCGCGGACGAGGAAGCTCCTGACCCTGTTCCAATTGCGAGTTCGTCTCGTGCAACGTCGCCTTCTCCAAGTCACACATCTTCGGATAAGAAGGTCGATGAGCTGACGCGTTTTAGAGACTTGCTACGACCTCCTTCTATTGAAGGGCTCGGTGACTGGGGTATACCGCCCGCACCGGACGACGACGACTGTGACCCTGCATTAGTTGCAAAGCTTGCTCAGTTTCACGAGTTAAAGCGAGATCCAACCAACCCTCGCCATTTCAATGACTCGCTGATGTCGAACCGCTCGTTCCGAAACCCTCATTTATATGCTCAGCTAGTAAACTTTGTTGATGTTGACGAGTGTACGACGAATTTCCCACCTGACATTTGGGATCCAACGGACGTGAAGGAGGAGTGGTATGCCGAACGAATAGGTGCGCCGAGCACTTTTAACTTCTACTTAAACCCGCATTTAACGCCAACTTATCCTTGCTCCAGCTGAAGAACAGAAAAAAAGTGAAGAAAAACAGGCAGCAAATCAAACGCCAGGAAAACGTTCCCGTATAGACTTCACCTCTTCGACGTCGTCTTCATCTCGTCAAGCCTCGAACTATGCGAAAAATGGCGGTGGCGTGACAGGGAATAAGTACTTGTCTTCAGCCGCCGACTCAGCGCGACCGAATCGACAAAGTCGCTTCGCACCGTACTCATCAGGTACAAATGCAGCTTCAAGGGATAGGCTGGGTGGTCGATGGGGTTGATTGCGAATATATCCAGAGCTGATACAGATGTCTGAGGCGTAGTCTTGCACTTCATCCCTGTTAGTATATTCTTTCGTTGGAATACGATGCTGATGCAACATTCAACTGGTATTGTGAGTCTGTCACTAAGATCTAGATGTTGCGGGTGCGCAAAGCAACCATGCTTCATTACCCGAATAAGAGAGCAAAAGGAAGTCTTACACGGCCCCGATTTCGCTTACGCTATGCCATACCGACGGCCCGAGACACATTCAATGCAGCTTCCTTCGTTTCTTCAAATGATCACAGGACCGAATGCCAATGTGTAATCCCTCCATCATCATTTACTAAATATGCTGCATATAGACTCTTCTCAAACGATACGAAATTTGTTATAGCCCAGCTCCTTTTCAAGCCAGCCCTGTCATCGGTACCCGCTGTGTCACGAGGACTAATGTAGATGCAAAACAGGCCCGGTACCGAACATCAACTTATATTTATATGCTAAGTTTCTCCAAAGCACGTAGCACCAAAACCAAGTCATCCATTCTCCTCCCCAGTCTTCAAGCACCCCGCAATGTTCGCTTACCAGTTCATCTCCTTCATCTGCATTTTAGGCACGCTCCTCGATGTAGTCTTCGCAGCAACTTCGCTTTTAGGAAGGAAGTCTCCAACGTTATACGTAGCCGGCGACTCAACAGCTGCAAGAGATGATGGAAACCCAGCGCTTCTAGGTTGGGGAGAGAAAATAGGACAGTATATTAGTATTCCCGTGGTGAATGACGCTGTGTCAGGTGCTACAACTCGGACATATACCGAGCAGGGATACTGTTAGTAGCATTCTTTCACTCACCTTTTTTCTACTTCCTTTTGTTGCCCATTATGATATTCCTTTGGAATATATACTGACGTTAGAGCTCGACTTGCCTTCCCTCGATTTAGTCGCGGAGATCGTCGACGCTGTCCAACCTCGCGATCTGGTCATCATTGAATTCGGACACAATGATAATAGGTCCCTCGCTGATAACCCGACCACCGGTGATTGTCCAGGTGCTGATTTAACAACGACATGTAACATGTAAATAATTGGAGTAAATATTATGCTATAATATATGACGTTGATAGCTATATGGTTTTATAGAAACGGAACAATTGTCTACACCTATAACAAGTACGCAGCCCTTACTTTCCCGTATTTCTTCTAATACATAACCCATTACCTTGCCAGATACATGCAAGATGCAATAACATCTCTCAAACAAAAACACGCGCTCGTCATCATCTCCTCCCAAACACCCGACAACCCATACGCAATCACGACGAACCCCGTCTTCGTATCCTACGCCGCGGAACTCGCCCACACAAATCACCTAAGCTACATCGACCACTTCCATCTTCTCCTGAAAGAATACGAAGCACTGGGAGAGAACGCTACGAACGCACTTTTCCCACTAGATCAATACGTGCATACAAGTCCCGAAGGTACGTGTTTCGTTTTGTTTATTTTATTTTTTGGTTTGGTTTGGTTGGAAAGAGCTTATTGAGCTAATTGAATTGAACGTGATGCTTTAGGTGCTGACATCGCGGCTCAGGCAATAATCCGCGGCGCCCTCTGCGATTCCGGAAATCCGCTCTTCCCTTTTGTCACAAACACATCCGTAGCGCCAAGTGAGTACTTCCTTAATTTTCTATCTTCATACTATACAAGGACAGAGATAACAATATTATTATTTCCGAAAAGCTACCTGTGTATAGAGTAAAGAGTAAATCTATGTTGCTACATTGATGCTGGAATCCGCAATGTCATACCAGAAAAAATTAGAAAGCACATCTGACGTATTCGATACACGGCAGTATGACGTTGTTTCGTACAGAGGTAAGAAACAGTGTTCTAACTCGCAATGAGTGTATTGGTATCAAATGCAGAACTTCAGTACTTCGGGATGTAAGTCCAGGTCTCTCGATGGTACATTGGCTACTACATATAATGTGTTAAATGTTGTCTGCTCAAAAGCGTACTCGCAATCAGTCAATTACAACACAATAAATTCGCGCGTATTCAACACATATACACATGACATTGAAAAAGGGTGATAGTCCGTATACTTCGGTACACGTTGCAAGAAAGTCCAAGAAGACAAAAAGGGGAAAGCAGAAAAAAATTCGCCACCGGCTTCACACAACACACATGCACGTCAACCCAAACCAATTCAACCACCCACCCTCGTCCCGTTTTGATCCGTGCACCCAATCCAAAGCACGCATTTCGGTTCGAGTCCCTCCGGCTCGTCTCCAGCATCCTTCAACAGCAGCGCAACAACACCATGAGGAGGAACCGCCGTTGCCGTAAAGTTCCGGACAGCCGTACCATTGTCAGTATGAGTCCAGAGGTCCTAACACAAAAACCAAATTATCAAGATTAATAGTTCAATATTTGAAAGGACTTAAGGAGCACTCACTCTCACGGAATACTGTCTCCCCGCGCGTACCCACGGCGATTCCGTCAAGTTAAAGAACATGTCACTCGGTTGATCCAGCGTGTTCAACTACCATTCCAAATTTTAACAAACTAGATCCGGTTTAATCCATATAGCCCGACAACACTCACGAGCATAAACACAGTTCCATTCTGCGTTGGCCCACTCCAATATCCAGCAGGATGTTTCGGGTCACTCGTCCAGTCAGGCTAACCGAGGATAGAATGCGATGTAAAGTAAAGACCCGTAAACTTGGATGGAAAAGAAACGTAACGCACGTTTACACCCCACCGGAACGGCGAGATACTTGTTCCGACAACTGGGTCCTGATTAATAGCGAGTATCTCCTGATTCTTTAATACCTCCAAATCCGAATCTTTTATTGCCGACAACTACAGGGTACAGAAATTTCGGCCATGTGAAACGAACCGAGGCAGACAAAACATACGTTCGCGCCAATCAGCAGTGGAGATTTCATTAACGCCCAAGCCGTGAAGTGTGATTTCACTTCATCGACAGTCATATCACCGTTCCCGCTAGATATAAAGGGTATAAAAATCAAGGCTTAAGACCAACTTTCAAGCCATCGGGTCTTAACTGTACGCACATTTGCAGCTAGAATCATATCATAAAATAAATAAAAACATGAACCCTAAAGATGAAATAAAATAGACTCGCACCATATCCATATCATTATGCCCATAAAAGTCTGTAGCCATCGTAATGAACGAATTGCTATCTCACCAAAACCAATTATCAAAAAAAGTCCATAATAAAGAAAAAGAAACTACTATAAGACGTACAAGTTTATAATAGACGCAAGTGACTCCCATGTTGGTTGAATATCATTTGTAGTCCTCCAAGACTCTCCAAACTGCTTTCCCCAAATCCATACTTGACTCTATCGGTATCACGTGCCATTGTCACATTAACGACGGAGTCAAAAGGCAAGAATCAAAAAAAATCAAGAGTGAGCGTCAATGTTGTAATGTTGTGTTTGTGTAATGTCTCGGATAAACGTCGGAATTGGGACTAGTAGTAAGACTTACCCATCCCCATTCGCAAAGCGAGAAAATCAGGGGCGGCTTTCCTGATGACGCAGCGAGATCGGCAATCGCATCTCGCATGCGTTGATACTCTAAAAGTTTAAAAAATGGGGAAAGATTGTTTCAGGTCATGAACAAACGAATTGATCGTGAAATAGGTTTCCCCATACGTACTGCCCATCGTGTTCTCGCGAAGGATGTCGTCGTACGGAACTTAGTATCGAAAAACATAAATCGCACGCGTATTCTTTAAGGATCTGATGCATGACTTAACATACTTGCACAGTTGTCGTACCTTAAACACAGTAATATGTTAGTTTTAGTATGTCAGCGAGAAATCGGAGCATCCGACAAGACGCACTTCAAATAGTCAAATCCCCAATCCAAGAACGTCTTCGCATCTCGAGCCTCATTCTGGAACGAACCCGGATACCCAGCACAGGTGAACCACCCACTGTCGCCGTAAATACCAGCGTTGCTAGACGGGAAAGAGAAACACAATATATTTTCCGTAAGAAGCTTTATTTTGATAACGTAACAACGAAGACCCACAATCCCATAGAATGAAGCTGGCCCGTCAAGCTGTTCATACCAGAGCTGAAGCGGACCTTGTCTGAAAAGTATACACATATCCACTTAGTTCATGGCCAAAGAACTGATGAAGAGAGACTAACCGGGAACAAGATTTCCTGATGAATCCCTGCTTTTCTCCGACCAACAATCGTCGATGTTAACGTGCGTATACCCAGCATCCTTTCATTATTTGTCAGAATCACTGAAATGACGACAATAGGGGTCATTAAGTGTACAGTACCTGAAGTCCGAGCGACTGCATCAACTTAGCCGTTGTAGTTATCAAGTCTTGGTCGATGTTACACTAGAAGGAAATATCATGAGAAAGCTCTCGAAAGAAGGGTCAGGCAACTTACCTGGTACGCATTCCAAGCTACAGTGTAGCTCAGCACATAAATCTAGTTAAAATGCATGGCAATGAGCCAACATACTGTTATATCCCAACACTGCGAGTATGTTCAGCACAACGACTATTTCTAAGAACACCGAGAACAGGGTACACATACCAGGAAGCTTAGCAACACCATTACTCAATGCAGACACTTGCGGGTCACTGAGCAAGAAAGACGCCACGAGGACTGAGGAGCCAGAGTACATGAGCCCGCGAACAGCGGCCCACAAGTCATTGACCATTGTAGTGAATTGAGAGGTGACGGAGGACATTTGAAGCAGACTAGTGTCAGACTTTATAGGAGAGTCATTTACTTAGCGGGTGATAGACGAAGCAGAGGCGTAGGACGCGAGAATCTGATGCCGGGATGGTGCACATGCGGACGCGTAGGATGTGCTGGTCCCGTGGTCGCTTCGAAGCTGTTCTTTGGCACACGTGACACGCATCCTCAACACAGAACGACGAATTGGTCCAGCATTCCTTTGACATTTACCATTCACGATGTCTCGGTGCCGAACCAAAGAAGACGAGAAGTGCGTTTCAACAGCACTGTAATGCGGCCCGGTGCAAGCATAACAACGTTCATCAGCCAAACGTCACAGCTCCAGCCTCCTAGTCTTCTCAGTAGGTTACATTGGCCTGCTCACTACTAATTGTGACAAGCCTGTGTCCACCACTTAACCAACCGTCCACCAGTTCTCTGAAGCTTTATATTTACCAGATCTTGTTAGAAGGAGACACTAGTCCAGAAACACGTATGCACTATGCAATTGAATGCATAAGTCTGGTAGGAACACAAATCACGTGCCGACCCGTCAGTGACCATCGACGTCGTGTCTCTGACTTAACTATGTGTCACCACCATGACGGAAATAATCAACGAGCAGAACAACCCCGTGAATCAGCAACACGAAATTGCTTCTGATACTGTTCTTCTATCTGTTGCTTCTCTTCGTGAGAACGGGTCATCGCAAGTAAACCCGCTGCTTCATATCCCTTACAACGTTTTTCCCTTATATGCCACTAAGCCCCGCAAATGGCTCCTTTACTGCGCCAGAGCGATATGTGGTGTCGCCGGCCGACTTGGATACGCAAATAATTTTATTAGCCAAGAAGGCATGGATGAAGGCGTCCAGCCGGGTGACCAATATATATACCACCTTCACGGTGAACCCAACTATGTTGATATAAACTTGAAGCACAAGACCAGCCGAACCTCATGGTCAAGTCGATTACTTACTGTTCCAGAAGACTTGAAAGACTACTATGGAGGGTGCCCCTTCTCGAGGTTTTCTGTTAGACGTTGTCAAGCATGTCATCTTATTCCGCACTCAAAGGGCGACAGCGTGAGCTTTAATATTGTTGAATAAACAAAGCAAGTTTAATATCTTGCATAGTACTATCAAAACATTATAGCCCCACGTAGTAACCCGGTGGCTCAGATTAGTGTCGAAGATAGACAGAACATGCTATTCATGGATGTCGGTATTCACACAATTTTCGACGGGGACATGATTGTCGGGTTCTTGAAGGTTTTGCTGATTTATCTCTCGAAACTGTCCTATGTACTGAGCCACTCCTAGACACCCAATTTTGCTTTAAAGACGAACGAGCTTCCGGGTGCAGACCAAGCCTCCCCTGATGACTACCGCCTTACGGTGCACTGCTTTTCTGAAAATGAGGACGACCGGGATTCTGCGTATCATGGTACTTCTTCTGATTTGCGGAGAGGATGTGGTAGGCGACAACGGCAATCCACGTCTCTACCGGACGACGATGATTATCGTCCGAACGACGTGATTCTCGATCTTGTGTATGGGTCTGCATTGCTGGAGGCGTGGGGTACTCAGGATGCGAAGGAGAGATGCAGAGCTCATAGCAAAAAATACTACAGTGAGGGACCAGGCGTGCAAGATGAAGATAGTGCTGGGGACGAGGAGGAAGTGCTTGGTAAACGGAAGAAACAGGAACACTCTGGAAGACGAGTACGACGCAGTAAGCGGCTGGCGAATAAAGTAGGGCCGGAGGAGCCGTACGATACATGGGATGTCCTACTCGACCTAAATTATCTTCTCAGGGGTACGTCACGAGCAGAGGTTGAAGCAAAGCGAAAGGAGCAGGAAGAACGCGAGGCTGAGGAAAGGAAACAGCACGCGGACGAGTGGCGGAAAGGAGTGAGTAGTGGGTCTCCCCCTGATGCGATAGACTGCGACGAACTCGCGGGCAGTAACGGTGTTAAGAACTCTACTGACGGTGAGGAAGCGGTGAGGGTGGATGAAGTGCTGAGCAGGCCGCCACCGAGGTGGCAATTGCCGTCAGCTGATTCTGTTCCCTTCCTGACGTCGATGGATTCTGGTTCGGCAGACTCGGAGTCCACAGGCTCTCTCAGCCGTGTTGTTCATAGCCTAACACAGAGAGATCACAAAGCAAGTGCGAAGCATTCCAATCAATGTACGTCATTGGCTGCCAACGAGCAATTGCTTTGATAGAAATGATAATTGAAGTAAGTAGATGGACATGGACATAGATAGATACAATAGCTCTGTGGATAGACTCTATAGAAAGAGGTAATTGTAATGTAGTACGAGAATAGATGTTGTGCAAGGTGAGGCAAGGGTATAGATGCGAGTCTATGCAGCACGTGCAACAAAAGAGGCAGCCTGGATGGAGCAGACTGAGAGTCGTGGGGAACACAAGACGGATTGTTGTCCAATTAGACTACAATGACCAAGATAGATACTGTCCAAGACAACTTGAAGATGTACTTTGGAAGGCGTGCTTTCACAAAGACACATTGTACATTATCAAGTGTGTCACGTCATTAATATTCTGCATTCGAACAACAAAGATGTGAGTCTTAACATTGTTGAATGAAGAGCACAAGCTTTAACGCCTTGTTGAGACAAGACAAAGTATTTGTTGACAGCTTTTGTCGCCACTCCTACCTGTGTCAGAGACTTCAAGATAATACACCCAATTAAGCGTTGAAGACGAACGAGCTCCTGTGTGTAGGCCAAGCCAGCCCCCGACGAATATCACCTTATGGTACATTGCTTTTCCGACGGAAAACAAGGATACCCGGATTTCTGCGTATCATGGTACTTTCTCTGATTTGCAGAGAGGATGTAGTCTTGAAGAACTACTAGCTACGTCTCTACCGAACGACACTACCATCTTAGAACTTGTATATGGGTCTGGATTACTGGAGGCGTAGGGTACTTACTACTCAGGATGTGAAGAATAAATGCAGATCACACAGCAAAAAATACTACAGTGGAGGAGCAGGTGTGCAAGGTGAAACTCGTGCTGGGGACGAGGAGAAATTGCTTGGTAACTTGAAACGGAAGAAAAAGGAACGCTCTGGAAGACGAGTACGGCGTAGAAGCGGCTGGCGAATCATGCAGAGTCGGATGAGCCGGGATTTCTTACTCGACTTTAATTATCTAATCAGGGGTGCGTCGCGAGCAGAGGTTGAAGCAAAGCAAGGCAAAGGGAGCAGGAAGAGCGCGAGGTTGAGGAAGGAAACAGTATGCAAATGAGAGGCGGAAAGGAGTGAGTAGTGGGTCTCCCCCTGATGCGATGGACTGCGACGAACTCGCGGGCAGTAACGGTGTTAAGAACTCTACTGACGGTGAGGAAGCGGCGAGGGTGGATGAAGTGCTGAGCAGGCCGCCACCGAGGTGGCAATTGCCGTCAGCTGATTCTGTCCCCTCCCTGACGTCGATGGATTCAGGTTCGGCGGACTCGGAGTCGACAGGCTCTCTTAGCCGTGTTGTTCATAGCCTGACAAGGAAAGAAAAAGAGTAAAGTAAGAGAGAAGAGTACTCTCCATTAAGTCTTGGTATTTTAATCATGGCACTACATTGATTACTAACACTAACAGGCTTGATGGAAGTCTACCTGCCTCTGAAGGCGACTGACGGATCGTGTAGATGAGAATATCCGTGATGCGCTTGTGCCGCGGCAATTGCTTTGCACGGGCCGGACGACGCGGAGGCAAGTGTGGGAGCGAGGTGTGGCTGTACATGCTCTGGACCCCTATCGTGGGAATACGGAGGTATTACCAATTACCTAATGCTGCCTGATAAGGATACTCACCCGGACTGTCGTGCTGTTTCTCACCAACGAACCGCCATCATGAGCTCCTCAATCTACAACGTGAGTCCGCCTCTCTTTCCTCGCTCTCTCTCTCTACTTCTCCCTTACACACATCGCTGTCTACGTACTCGCTGTAGATGGCGACAGTGACGTGTCGTCTCTCTCTTTCTTCTTTCCTCTCGTCCATCTTCATCCCGACCAATGCGGCGCTAACCCTTCCTCTTTCTTTTCCGTTTTCGTTTTCCAACAGCACCGTTCCCTCCAACCCCAGGGCCCTCCTCCCGGTCCAGTCCCCGCTCACTCTCCAACAAGGCTCACAGAGTCTCTCGAGGCAGTCCGACAAGAGTTCGAGCTCGCCGCATCAGACATCACCTTGCTCCGAGGCCAGAGGGATGAATTCGAAAACAGAAGTCAGTAGTGAGCTCTCGACATTCTCGCTCCTTTTTTCTTCTATCCCATTTTCCTCATTCCCTCCAAACGTTCAAATGTCGGGCGGAAGGCATCAGGCATCAGCATACATCGATAGCCGCGGGCTCTTCTGCGATTCTCAATTGTATGTAAGGGAAAAAACCATGCTCGGCGGAGTTCTCGCGGGCGTTCGTTTAGATGTTCCGCTTCCTTTCTCTTCTCCCCTTGTCTTCTTCCTCTTCGTTGCTTCCTTTTTCACTGGCATCACCCGGGTCTAATCTAACCTAATTATTGTTTTCGAAAGTCCATGCACAGATAAACGAACTCAACCACATCAAGCAGATGGTCTACGAGCTCGAAAACCAGCACACCAAAGCCAGACAACAGTACGACGACGAGGTCAACCGTCTTCGCGCAGAGCTCACTCAAGCTCGTCAAGCTGCAGCTGTGCAAGCTCAACAAGTGCAACAGGCCCAAGTACAGGCTCAACAAGCGCAAGCACAGGGTTTACCTCCACACCCCGCTACAGCCGGATCTGGCGCTGGAGGAGGAGGAGGACCGCCACCACCTCCAGGCGCACTTCCGCCACCAGCAAATACCAGTCCACATGTCGCTCACGCGGGAATGGGTCATCCGGGCCCAGGGTATGGAGAGCCGCCGTATGGTTATCGTGGTGGACGTGAGGATGTGAGAGAGAGAGAGATCCGTGACGTCAGGGACGTCCGAGATGGCCGTGGGGATGTACGTGGTGAGCGAGAAATGCTGCGTGAACGGGAGTTGCGTGATGCGCGAGGTGATGTGCGTGATGTGCGTGATGTGAGGAGTGATCGTGAGTTGAGGGAACGGGATGTGAGGGACAGAGATGTGAGGGACAGGGATGTGCGGGAGGTGAAACGTATCAAGACTGAGCGGCCGAAGGGTGAGTTTCCGCGACTACTACTGTCGTTATCTTATCATTAGCAATAGAATACCCGCCCCCATCCTCGGGGCACAAACCATACCCAGAATCAGCAGGTCCATCCACAGCTCTCGTCTCGTCTTCCTCAACTTTGCCGCCACCTTCAGGTCCGACACCTTACCCGCCGCCACCACCACCATCTTCCTCCGGTGGCGGAGCTTTTCTTGACGATATTAATCCGGAGACACTCCCACCTGAGTTTAAGAAGGAAGGAAGTGATTGGTTTGCGGTGTTTAACCCGAAGGTGAAGAGGGTGTTGGATGTGAATTTGATGAACACGTTGAGTCATGAGAGGTACGTTAGTTCGAGTCGTTTACTTGAATATCGGGCCTTTTAATTTGACCGTGGATTTTAGTGTTGTATGCTGTGTCCGATTCTCCGCGGATGGAAAGTACCTTGCTACTGGGTGCAACCGTACGGCGCAGATATATGAAGTGAAGACGGGGCAGAAAGTCTGGTTCGTTTCGTTCTCTCCATTCTCTTTCTCCCCTCCTGTCGTTTTGGCTAAGTGAATGGTTGGTTGTAGTGTTTTGAACGACGAAAGCGCGAGTCCTGTGGGGGATTTGTACATCCGGAGTGTGTGTTTTAGTCCTGATGGGAAGTTACTTGCGACTGGCGCGGAGGATAAGACTATTCGAGTGAGTTTGTTATCTGTTGGTAGTGTGCGACTCGGTGTCTTCGGCGTCTAATCGCCGTCCTGTCCTCGGTTACTTTCGGCAATCATTCTGATCACCGCTTATGATCGCCATTCATGATTATAATTACTCACGCGTCATAATTATTGTAGATCTGGGAGATCGCGAAGAAACGTGTCAAACGCGTGTTCGAGGGGCACCAACAAGAAATATATTCCCTCGATTTCTCCAAGAATGGTCGACTCATCGTATCCGGCTCGGGTGACCGTACGACTCGGATATGGGATATGGAAACCGGTATGCAAAAGGTGCTCGAGATTAACGAGCCTGATGGTGTCGACGCTGGTGTAACGAGCGTTGCGATTTCCCCCGACGGGAGACTCGTTGCAGCTGGGAGCTTGGATACTGTTGTAAGGATTTGGGAGGTCCAAACGGGGAACCTTGTGGAGAGGTTGAAGGGACATCGTGATTCGGTGTATAGTGTTGCGTTCACACCGGATGGAAAAGGGATTGTGAGCGGGAGTTTGGATAAGACGTTGAAGCACTGGGATATTAGTGCGATTGTTTCGGGTGGGTCGAGGAAGGATCCTTTACCGACGCCGAGTTCGAGTTCGTCGGAGGGTGCGGGTAATGGAGCTGTTGTAAGGAAGGACACTGCAAGCACTGCGAATAACGCAGCGAACAACCCGAACGGAGGTGCAGGTGACCGAGGTTCACTTAATACACTCAACTTTACAGGACACAAGGACTACGTTCTCTCCGTTGCAGTATCCCATGACGGCCAATGGGTTGTTTCGGGTTCCAAGGATCGCGGTGTGCAGTTCTGGGAAGCTTCCTCCGCCTCGAGTGCGAAAGGTGGTGCAGGAGGAGGAGTGCAGGTGCAGTGTATGCTCCAGGGACATAAGAATAGCGTGATTAGTATTGATTTGAGTCCTACGGGTGGGGTGTTGGCGACTGGGAGTGGGGATATGCAGGCGAGGTTGTGTGAGTTGTTTTCTTTTTTTCTTTGAGTTTTTTTGGGAAGAGTGCTGATTGGGAAATAGGGAGTTATACGACGATTTAACGTTTGTCCTTGTCGGTCTTTGTCTTTGTTTGGACCCGGCACATCTCTATCTATTTTTCCCCCTGTTTCCTGCTGTCGTCCACTTCCTCCTTCCGTCCTCTGTGCTATCTTGCCATCTTTTTTTCACAAAAGTGCGGTATCATTCCTCGAGATGCTTGCTTGCTTCCTCGCTTTTCTCTTCCCTTCTATCTCCGTTTCTATTTCCTTTTTTCCTTCCTTTTTCCCTGACGTTTTACGTTTACTCTGTTTCCTGTCTTCCGTCGTGTTCTATTCTGCCATCTGTTTTGCGTTACCTACCTAATGGGTTGTATTTTCATTTCCAGTTTTTGCTTTTGTTTTGTTTTTGGTCGTTCTGTCTTACCTAACTCAATACCTATCTACTTATCTCTGGATTTCTGAAACTTGAAGTTTTGAATGTCTGATTAGTGTGATTGGTGCAAAGTCAATGTTGACTTGTTTTTGGTTGGTGATGTCTGTTGTCGCTTGGATCAACACTAGTACTGTATATACTGGCCAACTTATACAGTGCTTAAAATACTTTTAACAATACTAACAGTAGTAGGGACAGTGAATGTAGCTTAATCAACACTCTCAAATTATAAGAACTCAAAGATTATGTATTAGTCTATATATATATGTTCTCTGAGTCTCTGTTGTCTTAGACTTGACTCTGTCATGTTGGATTAATATTTGGTTGTTACAACTTACAACTAGTACTGATTGACTGACAACAGAGATAGTATCTGTCAGTTCAATTCAACTCAAATTTTAATGTTCTTCCTCTGTCTGTAATTATACAAATCTGATTTGGTTTAGTAGTGTAGTATATAATATTTAATGTAAAGTGTCTTTTGTCAGCAACAGTGTAGAGGGGACCCAAAGGCTCAGTGAGGGGACCCAGGCTACAACTATCCTACACAACAGAAATACAGAACACAAGCACTAGAACATAGTCAGAACTTGTGGAACAGGCAGAGAGAGAGAGTGAGACAAGAGTAGAGTATATAGAGTGAGCCTAAGAGTACAGGACTATCTAGAGTAGATAAGATCAAGACTACAGGACCAGTCTGATCTTGTATGCTTATATATACTAAACTACACAAGAGTACTCAGGGAGCATGAGCTACTAAGAATGATAAGCTATGAAGAATGAAAGAAAGGAATGTCAAAGATAAAGGTATAAAGAATGAAGGGATGGACAAAGGGTAAGAGACTATAGAATGATACAAAGAATGAAGGGGTGGTCAAAGGAATGGAATGATGAAGTAAGGAAGGGTAGTAGTAAGAGTCAGTACACATATAGTCTATAGACAGTACTCTTAAGGGATGGAAGTCCTGAGTTCTAGTATAGAAGGGTGTAGAACCCTTGGAACTGAAGGTATGAGAGTAGAGAACCATAACATCACCCCTCCTCTAAAACCAATTGTCCTGATTAGTAAGCATTAGGCTTGGTCAGCAGCTCAGGCATAGGTTGGAACAGTAGGGTTTGGAAATCTGTAAGGTGGAGTTGATACTGAGCACTTGGATGAAGTTGATAGAAGTCTCAGATTGCCTTAGTAGTATGAGTGAGATTCTCAGTAGGTTCCTAAGTACATTCTTCAACTAGGTATCCCTTCCAGTGGATAAGGAACTTGAGCTTTCTACACACTAGCTTAGCATCTGCTACATACTCTACTTTGTATTCTAGTTTAGAACTGATGAGTTCTGGTAGAGGTAGTAAGGGTCTTTGTTATGAAGGAAAACCTGGATTATAGTATTGAGACAGTAAAACCTTGTTAAACACTAAGTGTATGTACTTCCATGTTGCTAGAAGTTGGAGTTTGTAGGCAGAGGCACTAACCTTCTTTTTAATAACAAAGGGTCTGAAGTGCTTGTTGTCCAACTTCTTCATTAGGCAATCTATAGTCAGGTTAGTAGCTTCCAGTATAACTTTGTCACTAGGCTGGTAATCCTTAGCTACAGACCTCTTCCAATCATAGTTTCACTTTATAACCTACACTACCTTTTCCAAAAGAGCTTGTGTGTCCTCCCTGGTTCTGTGTATCTGTTCTACAAAGTCTGTTATAGATTCAGAACTACTATTCTGGTTCAGAACAGTCCCCTAGTATGAATGTCTCTTATGATTGAGGAAGAATAGGGACTGTCCTGTTGTAGAGTGTTGTTAGTTATTGTGTACAAATTCTGCCAGAGCTAACCATTCAGACTAATCTGATTACTAATGATTGATGAACATCCAGAGGTAGAGCTTAATCTCCTGATTGACTCACTCAGTTTGACTGTTAGTCTGTAGGTAATAAACAGTAGAAGGGTTCCCTTGAATTCTGAGAAGCACATACAAGTCCTGTATGAATTTTGACTTGAATTATAGTCTGTAATCATGAATGAGCTTCTGAGGGAGTCTGTACAACTGGAAGACATAATCCTGATAAATGTGTACTATACCTTCAGAAGTGAGTTCTGTTTAGGTTGGAACTGTGTGGACTTGTTTAGAGAATTGGTTAACAATCATGTAGATAGTGTTGTAACCCTAAGACTCAAGTAGCTTACTAATCAGGTCTACCAAGACTTCTTCCCAAGAGTGATTTAGGATCTAATACAAATGTAGAGGAGCTCAAACCCTTGTCTGGTAGGCCTTAGTCTGTTAGCACATATTGTAACTAGTCACATACTTCAGGATTTCCCTCTACATTCTGGGCCACTAGTAGTTCTGAGTGATGAGTTCCTGTGTTTTGTGTCAGCCTGAATGTCCTACAGTCAGATTGTTGTGATGAGCTCAGATAATGTCCTCCTACAGCTTCTGATCCTTTAGAACATACAGTTAGCCTTCCTAGTAAACCTGTCCATCCTCATCCTCCTCCTAATCCCTAGCCTACTTCTCTAGTTGCTTTACTACAACCTGGTCCTGTGTGTGTCTCAGAGCTTACTGTATGTAGGTGACAAAGTCAACATCCTTGGATTTGAGTCAGATCTCTTAGATTGTCTTGGACACAAAACAGGAATTGTTTAGAAGAACAAGATTTTTGTTATCATTCTCCCCCCTTTTATAACCTACTTGTCTTGAGAGTAAATTGGCTTTTGTCATTTGTGTTCTGAGTTTGTAGGTTAGCACAAAGTCATAGTCCTACAGTTCTAACATCTAGCAGGCCTAGTAGTAGTTGAGCTTCTGAGACACCTGAAAGTACTAGAGATTAAGGTAATCACTCTAGATCTTGAACTTCTACACTACACTAAGGAGATATTGACACTACTCTTCTAGGGAACAGACAATTGTAAGGAGTTCCTTATTATAGATAGAGTAGTTCTGTTCTGTTACAGAGAGAGATTCTATTATGAGATGATTAGTTCATCAACAGACAAACCACAAGACAATGACTTCATAATGTCTTAGTTAGAATACATACAATATAAGGATGAGAGACACTGAGCAGTCAATTGTCACCTCACCCCTTGTCTATGTGTGCCCCCCTTAAGTTCTCCCTCTCAACAGGTTATGAGCCTTGAGCTCCCTACATACACACATCCACTGTACACTCTAAACTCTTTACTTACATACATTTGCACATATTTGCATCATAGTTCCCCCACATACAGATACATACTGTAAACCAGCTGATATACCTAAATACTTCAGTCAAAACATTACAATACTTAAGACCAAAGCAAACTACAAGATGTGGCACTACTACATTGTTTCTAGTGTTACAGCTATGTGCTTCAAACACTTACTAAAGGATGAACCACAGAACAAAGCTAAGAGGGAGATGGCTAAGGCCATTCATGTATGTATAGTCAATAACATTGCTGACACAATATTGGCAAACTATATACACTTCAATACATCTATCCCTCAGTTAATGAAAGCACTTAAAGAATGCTTTAACCCCTAGACAGCACATAAAAAGGCTATCAATGAATCAGCACTGTTTATTTGTAGAGACCATGTAAAACATTTTGGACATACATTAGACAGACTTGAGGAAGCATATGTAACTCTGTCTGCTAACAGTGATCCACCACACAACTCTACATACAAAGCAGCAATATTGCTTGCCACTCCTGAACAATATACACACATAGTAAATATAATAATACAATCTACTGATGCCCAAAATGAAGGCAAACCAGTCAATGAACATAAGAAAGTTGAACTGAAGCAACTAATCCTTGCATTGTAGAATGTCTACAACAATTACTGTACTAAACAAGTACAAGATTCTAATGATTGGACAAAGAATAATACATACATTAATACAATGTATAAAGCTAATAAGTAGAGGAAATTCAATCTGCCAAATCTGTTCAATCTAACAAAAGCAAAATGTTTCAATTGTAGAAAAACAGGACATTTCTCTAAGGAATGCTGCAAACCTCCTACTGAAGCTACAAAGCTTGCATGCACCAAACATCAGGCTAACATCATGCATAAAACAAATCAAACTGTAGAAAACACAATGAACACATTTATTATTGAAAACCCAAACAAAAACAATGTTGAATTAAAGGAAAGCAATGTTGAAATGAATGATAACACCTACACTCTTATTCCGAGCAACCAGGACAAACAATTTGAACAATATGTTTCCTGGGTATGTACTAACGTATTTACAAATACAATCATAGCTAACAAGAAATCCTATACACAAACAATGGATTTACTCAATTCTGGTACATTAATACATGCTACTCCTTATCTATTTCGATTAACGAATGTACACAACATAACTCCTACGATTGTAACTATTGCAAATAGGTCAACAATGACTCTTAATTGAGCTGGATCTATGTGTATCAAAATCCCAAAGAATATACAAGAAAAAGCATCATAACATTACAAAACGTCTATTACTAT